AAATAAATAAATAAATAAAGATTAATCTAGTCATTTCAACTAGCCAACCAATCTCTGAATGCTTGAAAAACCTGACTTTGACAAATTAAAATTTTTTAATTATGTGCTTTCACCTATGTATTTTCCTCAACATCTAAATCCCAATCCATCCATTGGCTCTCAGTATTCCACCTAATTCCCGAAATGGTTCTCCCAATACACATTGTTACTGATTTCCCTTTCTTCTTTGCATTATACTTACAGAGTAATAGATTTGAATCCTTTAAATTATACTAATCATTTTAATGTTTCTACCTGCTAAAAAATCTCCCAAAAAGGTTGTAAATTTCTTATTCTTTTTCTTTTTTTTAAAGATTTTTATTTATTTATTTGACAGAGAAAGAGAGAGAGACAACGAGAGAGGGAACACAGCAGGGGGAGTGGGAGAGGGAGAAGCAGGCTTCCCGCCGAGCAGGGAGCCCGATGCGGGGCTCGATCCCAGGACCCTAGCATCATGACCTGAGCCAAAGGCAGATGCTTAACGACTGAGCCACCCAGGCGCCCCAAGGTTGTAAATTTCTTAATGAAAGATAAATGACCTCTTTTTCTGTATTTCTGTAGTCCCAGGGCTCCTGTATTTCCAATCACCTACCACCAGACAACTATTTCTACCTACATGCTTGCACATAAACTCATCTTATTTGAAACTAAACCCATTTTTCTTTCCCTGCCATCTATGGTGCTTCCTAGGCTCCATGTCACCCACTCAAAAATTCTAGAAATTCTTCTAGACATTTCCATTCTTCCCACATCAAACTGATCACCAAGTACTGTGGTTATACTATTATAAACTGTTAATACAGTTTATAATAAAATCAATAAATTTTCCAATGTTAAGCCATCCTTGAATTCTTAGGATAAACCCTTTAAAATATTTTTTTCATATTATAAAAATAATGTATATTCATTGTGAAGAATTTGAAAAATCCAGAAAAATCATCTGCAATCCTTCAAGAGAAAATTAATGTTAACACTTTAATGTATTTCTTTCTGGGCTTATTTTTTAATGACTTAAACAAAATTAGAATCCTATCATACATATTAATTTTCTTTTTTCTTTTTTTTTTTTAAAGATTTTATTTATTTATGTGACAGAGAGAGACAGCGAGAGCAGTAACACAAGCAGGGGGAATGGGAGAGGGAGAAGCAGGCTTCTTGCCGACCAGGGAGCCCGATGTGGGACTCGATCCCAGGACCCTGGGATCATGACCTGAGCCGAAGGCAGACGCTTAACGACTGAGCCACCCAGGCACCCATATATATTAATTTTCTATTCATTTCACTCCACATTCTACTCAGGAGTACTTTATAATGTGTTCTTGAAAAGCAATATGTATGTGCTTACACTGAGGAAACTGAATATCCACCTTCCATACAAGTGAGGAAGATCCATCATAGTATTTATGCAAACATTTATAGCTTTCGATAAAATTTCCAGTGACAACACCCTACAGACTCAAAAATGTTAAATCATAGCTAACTTTGGCTGGAAGTGAACCGATGATGTGCCATGAAAAACTATGCTAGATCATCAAAAAGCCACTCTGATGATCACAAAGAAAGTGATGTCAAAGATGCATATGACATTGAATAAAACTTTTGTGAAATTTTTTTTGTTTAAAAATTTTATTTATTTATTTGTCAGAGAGAGAGAGAGCACAAGCAGGGGCAGCGGCAGGCAGAGGGAGAGGGAGAAGCAGACTCCCCGCTGAGCAGGGGCCCGATGCAGGACTCAATCCCAGGACCCTGGGATCATGACCCGAGCTGAAGGCAGCCGCTTAACTGACTGAGCCACCCAGGCGTCCCAACTTTTGTGAAATTTAAAAGAAAACAGACTCTGTTGCTAAATTGCTATTTTATATTTATAAAACATGAATTAACCAAAGTAAATAAATTAAATACAAATGTAAGGGGGGAAAAAAAATCAAGATTTCATTGCTTCAAAATACTCCATGGTATGATCGTACCATTTATCATTAAATGATAAAGTCCACCTAATTATAAGAGCAAAAATAACATAAGACAGTCAACAAATACCGTAACGGAAATGTTAATGTTAAGTATACTTGAAACCACAGAGAAGTCCCGTTATTGAGCCCCTGGAGCCCTTCACAGCTCCCTACGTATCAGGCCCATGTCTTCCAAGAGTCTGGAATGAACCTAAGTTTGAAAAGCCTCCAGTCGGAAGCTTTAATTACAGCTGCTCTTCCAGATGTGTTTACTTCAAAGAAGTATATCACTGTAGTCATAATTCTGACAAATGCTTCCCCCCCCCGCCCCTTACCACAATAAGCATATAACACCAGAAACATTTGCTTCCGTCCAGCAGGAACAGCATTAAACTTTCACTCTCTTGCCTAAGGTCTCTGTTAGCTCTATGCCACAATTTAGTCCACAGGAACTTTCATCATCTCATCATCCTGCACAATTACCAGCCAGCCCACTTCATACTGATGGAACTTGGTGAGCAGGAAGTAGCAGGTATCCAGATGTCCTGATAAGATACACACATGCCAGAAAGTGGAGGAAAAACCCATAAAAATTTGGGAGCCTACTACCTTAGTAAAATTTCTGGGGATACAAGGAGCTGTGGCAAGTAGGGTATCTCCTCCAAAGGAAAAAGCCAGTGTACATTTCCATTAAGAAATAGGTATAATGTGAATCTGGGAGTAGCTATCAGGTCTGGTTGGCTTTGAAGACAGTAAGGCTCTGGTTAGTATTACAGGATGAGACACTGGAAGCCCCCAACACGCAATGGCAAAAACACTGCTTATTAATCACCTGTGGATGTCAAGTCAGCCTTTTCCTCAGCCATCTCCCTGCTTACAAAACATAAGCTCGGGGGCCATGGTGGCAGACTTGAGATTATGCAGAGATTCAACGGCATGGGATCTCCCCATTAAGATATTCCAGTATAGCCTCTGAATGCCTAATTTGCCAGTAGCAGAAACCAGTGCTGAAAACTAAATATGGCACCAATATGCTGGACGGACCAGTCAACCATCAAGTAACAGACTGATTATCTTGGAACCATTTCATCTTGTATAGAGCAGTGGTTCCTCACTTGAACAAACCCATTCTAGATCTGGTATTGCCCTCCCTTCTTACCATGCTTCTACAAGTAATGCATCTGTGATCTTACTAAATGAGTTATTTAGTACCATACCACATTAGTTCTTGACCCAGAAATTCATTTTACAGCAAAAGACATGAAGACAACAGGCTCATGAAATTCACTGGTCTTATAAACATCACTACCCAGAAGCAGGTTTTATGGAATGGTTAAATGTTTTATTGAAGACTTAAATATAGTTATCTGCCAGGTGGGTTACAACACCTTGTTGAGATTGGGTTATTTTCCCCACACAAAATTGTTTCTTATTGAGGCATTCAGTTTACAGCAAAAATGAGGGAACTGTTTTGCACCTACTAGGTTTCCCACAGCTCCAAAGCAACTAGCTTCCAGAATGCCAACTGGGTGACAACACCTTAAAGGATGCCATTCCACTAGATGCAGTGGAACACACAGGTCTAGGAAGCAAGGATTGCAGGTGGGAGTGGCAAATCACATTACCACAACTAAGACTCATTTCCAAAATGTTTAAAAGTGAACTTTGTTCATTTCTTCAGGTTCTATCCTTGAATTTGAATACAGTCTGCTTTCTTCTTTTAAAACAAGAAATATGAGAAAAATGAATCCTTTAGGAATAAACTACATAAAAAGGGGGAAAAAATCTGAAGTACTATCCACTGTCTTAATAAAATTGAAGGATGAATGAAATTCTAAATACTTAGGGGGTGGAAAACACCACTGGAAATGTATTTCAAAATGCCACTTAATAAGCTTATTAACATACTACAAATAAAAACTATGTTTACCAAATTAACATATTACTTGGGATCAAAAAAATACGCCTTGAGCCTTAACCCCAAACCTTTCCCAGTGGCATTTTGACCCCCACAGCACCACACTGCTTACCCAACACAGAATGTTGTTTCCTGACTCTGCCTTTGCACGCGATGCTGCTGCTCGCTTATCTATAGGGAGAACTCCTAGGTGTTCTTCATAATCTAGCTCAGATATTCTCTCTTGTGGGAAGTCTTCACCACATCAGCCCCCAGCTCACTGTCTTTCCCCAATAGAGAAAACTAATTTTCAGTACTTTGTATACATATTTCTGTTACTATGTTTATCTGAATTGCAGTTGAAGGATCTGCAGGAATTATACAGGAACATATCCAAAACCTGAAAATAATGAATGTTAATCTTATAACCCTAAAATAATCAGATACCACGGAAGCAAAGAGGGAAAATGACAAAAGCAAAGACTACTGGGGCAATGGAAAAAGGCTATGGAGTAAGCAAAGACTACGCCTTAGAGGGTAGCATTATATAATAATAGATTGAATTTTGCTTCTCTTCTCAATTTAGTTAACTGTCAATCTATTTATGACCAAAAAACAGTTTAAAGCAAGAGCTATACAACTGTGCCAGAAGTAGCCACAAAACTGGAGTTTTGCCATTTATCTTCTTTTTGGTCCCCATTTTATAAATACACTTTTTGTACACATATTTATGATATCAAACACTTTATTTTTTTTTTAAGATTTATTTATTTTACAGAGAGAGCACAAGCAAGCAGGAGGGCAGAGGGAGAGGGGGAGAGAATCTCAAGGAGATACCCTGCTAAGCACGGAGCCCTACCCGGGGCTCAATCTTATGACATGAGCCGAAATCAAGAGTCGGACTCTCAAACGACTATGCCACCCAGGCGCCCCAATATCAAACACTTCATAAAAGAAGGAAACTAAGCAGTAGACTTACCGAAATGTCTGATTTTTTGTTCGTATTTCTGCATAAATGATTTTGATTTATCTTCATCTTCTATTTCTTTTCTTTTATCTTGATTAATAAAACTCTAAGAAAAAAATTCTTGAAGTTAAAATCAGATTTTATATTCACTGAATATTCTTTCTCAGATACTGAATGCCTAGCAATGCTTCCTACAGACACTATAAAAAGGTGGTATAGTATTATACTGATATTATATTATTAAATTTATCTGTTAAACTCCTTAAAAAAATTAGAAGTTTCATTATTTTTTAAAATGGTACATGTGCAAAATTATAGAATTATTTTAGAAATCATACCAAAAAATCCAAGTGCATTAAATAGAATTTCCCTATCAAAGTATAGAAAGATCCTTTACATGCATAATATGTATTTCACATTATTCATTTCCATTAAATATTTGCAACTCTAGCCTAATCTTTGGAGTTCTTGCTGGAAATAAACTTAGACATTCAAAGTGTATAAACATATTTATTATAACTTCTTCGCAAAGACATAAACCTAAAATGGACCTTTGTTGTAAACTTTTCTTAGGAGAGGCCAGTTTGATTCTGAAATCAAGTACAGATTTCTATTAAGGAGGTGCTTACTTTCAGTTAATAAGCCATAAAGCAGACCAAGATGAAGTTTTTATCTAGCCAGAAAAACTGGCAGGACAGTTTCTCAGAACATTCTGTGATCGCATTTAAACCTTGTGATCATCACTGCCAAAAACAAAAAGCGCAAACTAGCTCTCTGCCAGTTTACAACTCAAAAGCACACAAGTTTATATATTTCAAAATAAAAACATTTCCTTTATATATCCTGCTATCTAGACCAGCACTGTCCAATAGAAACATAATCCAAGTCACAAATATAAAGTTTTGTATTAGCCACACTAAAAAGCAAAAAGAAACAGATGAAGTCAGTAACACATCTATTTAACCCAACATATCCAACATACGATCATTTCAACATGTAAGACAAAAAAAATTATTAATGAAATATTTTACTTTTTTTGGTGCTAAGTTATCGGAATCTGGTGTGTATTTTACACTTACAGCACATCTCAATTCGGACTAGCCACATTTCAAGCGCTCAATAGTACATGTGGCTAGTGGCTATCGAGTTGGACAGCGCAGATCTAGACCAGTCCTCTCAAGTCTCAAGCTCCCAGACAAAATCAATGTACGATTTTGAGCAAATGACTGGAACATAAAGATAATGCTAATTAATTTGTGGTATAAATGTAGGCTATGTTAGAACCTAAGTTAAAAAAAAAACAACAAAATAAAAGCAGAGACAAATGAATATATTTCCTTTGTGACCACTGTGTTAAGAGACATTAACCTTATAAAACAAAGAAACACTGCACTTTGAGCATTCCCTCTGGAAGAAAGAAAAAAAAAAAATTTTAAGTAGTTATGGTGTGTAAATGCAAACCAGAAATAAATGCTGAGAAGACACGCTCCTTAGGACAATATATACAGATACAGTGAATCATTCAGATAAAGAATGATCTTGGGGTGTGTGTGGAAATAAATACACTCTGGCACAAACACACAGGAAGTCTAGAAAGATACAACTCACTTGTAACAGTGGTTATCTCTGGGACTGAAACTGGAAGTGAAGGAAGCCTTTCAATTCTATTTTACATACTTGGTTTTTTTTTTTTATAGTAAGCATGCTGTACTCATAATTTTTCTCAATTTAATAAAGCACTGATGGAGCTAGTGCTGTTGTACATTTAACCTATGTGTATTTCTTGTTACTGCAGCAGAACTAGGGATGGTCCAGGGGAAGGAAACTGAAAGCGCTTAAGAGGATGGGTTGAGAGTGGATGCTAGGACAGAAACAAATAGTGTTAAGGACTGAGAAGTCTAGAGAGTAATGATGGTTAAAGATAGAGTTAATGTGGACTTAGACAAGAAAGAGCAGTCTATCCCTGAAGCTTCGAAAGTTTAGTACAAACAGAAAGAAGTGTTACTTTACACATTAGTAAAAATGAATTTCACTGCCCATTTCTTCTTCAGATGCAACAGTCAAAGAATAAAGCCTACATAATCCAGTGAGAAAATGAACACCACTCTTAATAACTACTAACTTGGCAGAAGTGCTGTACTAGTCCATTCGGTGATGTTGGTAATGCTAAATCTGGATTATTACCTGAGGTTTACCAAATACATACTGGTAAGTAACAGTGAAAGACTCTATTTAATAAATCCAGTATCTACACATTAGTGTTACAAAACTGACAGCAAGCTGACAGCAACATCGGAAAGCTCTTGTAACGTATGAGCTTTACCACATGCCTGGCCCTAACCTGTGGGCTTTTAAGAAATTACCTCCATCTTCATACTCACCCTATATTGTTGAAGAAACCGAGGCTTAGAGATGTCAAGTGACTTGCCCAAGGTGACAAAGCCAGCAGCATGTGACAAAGCTGAGATCGGAGTCTGATTCCAGAGTCCACCCTTACATCTAGTGTGCTATGCTACAGCTACGGATTTATATTAACGACTACCCACATTTGACACTACTGGGGATACAGGTTTCTGTAACACTTTTTTTTTTTTAAAGATTTTATTTATTTATTTGAGAGAGAGAGCACGAGCAGGGGGAAGAGACAGAGGGAGAGAGAGAAACAGACTCCCCGGTGAGCAGGGAGCCCGATGCGGGACTCGATCCCAAGACCCTGAGATCATGACCCAAGCCGAAGGCAGACGCTTAACCGACTGAGCCACCCAGGCGTCCCTCTGTAACACTTTTCATAAACTGTCAAAACTGAATTCTATTCATAGGTTCTGTTGCTTTGTTACCAAATATGCACAACTGGTTTGTACAAACACTTCCATTTTCTCTTCTTTCATTACAATCCAATAAAAAGTTGTACCTTGTTAAAAACATCCTTGCTAATGGCATCCATGTTCCACAGACACATTCTCTCTCTTTGTACTAGAGCTTCTTCTTTCTGCCGCCATTCTTCTTCACGTTGCCTTAGCTCTGATACTGCTGTTTGTGCTTTGGCATGTTCCTGATCCAAGGACTCAGAGTTATGCAGGGCTAAGCTACCAAGTTTTTGCTGAGCTTCAGCGAGATTCCATTTGCATGCCACAGAGCTCTTCACAAACTCTTTCTGCTTTTGACAAGCCAGTTCAATTCCATGGCTATACATCTGGATAAAAAAACAACAGTGTAAGAAATGAAGAAGACAAGGGGTATGTTTATGCAGCACAATTCAATTTTCTTTTAGTCAAGGATTGCTGTACAATAGTTTTGGTACATATGCATTCTGCCTTCTGTGTATGCAGTTATACTTTTATATTATAGGTCTTCTTTCATGAACTAGACTCTAAACACTTCTTTGTTAATCTATACCGCTCTCTACAACTAACAGCAGCAAAAAGCCCGATAATTAGCACAATGTTCTGCCTATAGCTGGTGCTCAAGAAACATTTGATTTACAGCTTCACAGTCCTAAAAGAGCAGAATAATGAGAACAAAAGCTTCAATCTAGTTCATCACCTTACAACTCAACATGCTGAAAACCAGATCTTTAGAGTTTTGTTCTGGAAGTTCCTCACTGCAAAGAACCTTTTATTTAGAAGTAATTACTTCTTGGTTTCTATTTTCCTTCTATATTATCCCAATCCCTGGTGATCTGAGAAGTTCTTATATGGGGAATTTCTGTTTATAACTGAGTCGATCAGACAGACAGACATTCTTTAACTTAATCCTAATCAAAATAGGCAAAATTATAAAAACAAAAAAAATCCACCAAAAACTGGTCCATCCTGGTGACTGACTGTTCCAATCAAAAGCAACAGTAATCAGTTTTATCTAAAAAAAAAAATTTTTTTTTAAGGTTTTTATTTATTTGACAGAGAGATAGAGAGAGAGCACAAGTAGGCCAAGTGGCAGGCAGAGGGCGAGGGAGAAGCAGGCTCTCCACTGAGCAGGGAGCCTGACGCAAGGCTCGATCCCAGGACCCCGGGATCATGACCTGAGCCGAAGGCAGACGCTTAACCGACTGAGCCACCCAGGCGCCCCAGGAATTAGTTTTAATATTTACTAAACCACTACCCTTACAGCACTGTGATGGGTGTTTAATTCCTTATATTCTTCAGCTCTATAAAACAAAAGTTGAAGGCACATTCTTTATGACTTCTCAGCCAAAATGCAGATCAATTTCAAACTAAGTATTCAGAACAATTTTACTTCAATCTGTTCCCTAATCTGCGTCACTACTCAAGCACTTATAATTTCATACCTCAATTATATATAGTCTTTCTCATCTGAAGTCATTCTCCACTCTACTAGACTTGGGAGTAATTTCTCCAAAAAACAAATCTGATAATTTTACACATTCTTAGAGTCTTGGGGTAAAGCACAAATTCTGTGGCATGGTCCTTCATGATCTCACTTCCTATTCTCTCTCTAGACTCAGTTCTAGTTACTCTCCTACTTGTTCGCTTATTCTCTCCATCCCCCACTCCTTTCAATGTGGCAACCCCTATCCCCCAACTCCTATCCCCATTCCAGCCTCTGGCATCACTTCCTTAAGTTTTCTCTAATCCCTTCCCTTCCCACTCAAGGTCTGCATACTTCTTAGCGGTGTTTTCACACAATATTGTGCTTATTGATGTACTCAACCAGCAGCTTCTCGAGGGGCCAGAATTCCATAAATCTCAGATGCATAAATGATTCTCCACTTCTTGGAACAGACTAGTGGTGGCAAAGAATTCTGAGGCAAGTAGCATGAAAAGCCTCTACTTTTCAGCTGAGTTTAGATTTCTATTGTGGCAAATGTGGACACTGTTGCTATTCAGGTGATTTATTCATTTAGCAGGTTTGGAGCCCAGGTACACAAGGCCCTAACCAACCAAGTAAAATATTTATTTTTATTTTTTGCTATCTTAGATAGCATCAAGAGTAACTGTAGCCTAACTATACTTAAGAAGGGGCCAGGAAAAGGAGAATAATAAAGCTATTAAAATTTGTTTATTGTAAGACAAAGCTATACTAAGAAAGGCAATATGGACAAATGAAAATACCTTGCATTTTCAAAATTATGTGGGAAGAAATATTCATGTCTCAAATCAAACACAGAAATCTTATTTCTAAATTCTAAAAATGATTCATGTTAAATTCTTCTCCACAGACTTCACAGACAACATCTGGCCATTTGAGGAAACTATCCAACATATACTGAGATGATTAAGAAAAAAAAAAAAAAGATCACATTTTACCTATGAACACACTGAGGTTTCAGAGGAACATTAAACATAATCATATTTTATTTTATTTATTTTTTTAAAAGATTTTACTTATTTATTTGACAGAGAGAGACACAGTGAGAGAAGGGAACACAAGCAGGGGGAGTGGGAGAGGGAGAAGCAGGCTTCCCGCGGAGCAGGGAGCCGGATGCGGGGCTCGATCCCAGGACCCTGGGATCACGACCTGAGCCAAAGGCAGACGCTTAACGACTAAGCCACCCAGGCGCCTCTAAACATAATAATATTTTAATGAACATGAATTCAAAAAGGAACTGCTGGCATTAGGTTTACTAGTGTAACTTTACATTAAAAATGCTCGAACATGATCTCTAAATTCTGAGTTGCCTTTTACTTTAACTGGGTATCAGAACTATACATCACATACGACACTAAGATGTCTAGATTCCCCATGTCTGGTAAAATTAAACCAGAGCTGTTTTTGAAAAAAATTATAAAATGTTTATCATTTAATGAAGCATTTTATTCTTTCCAAATATTCCAATCCAAAAACTTAAGTCCTAAAGTCAGCAAGACAAGTAGTGGGTTATAAACACATGAACTAATTTAGGATTAGTAATCACTTTGCAAATTTTAACACCAAAGGTAGTGTCAGCCAGATGGTTTTACATTACATCACAGGATGGGAAGTGCAGCAGGTAGGAAAAAACACTGTACTAGGAGTCAGAAGTGGGTTCTGGTTTTAATTCTGCCACTAACTAGCTATAGGATCTCTGAGAAATCATTTTTAATGAAGAAGATAAGCCTATTTGCTCATAAAATCACTTTCAGCTAAATAAGCTTACAATTCCAAGTGCACAAGTAAAAAATATACAGACCTTTAAAAGTTTGTTTATTTATTTATTTTAGTAATCTCTACACCCAACATGGAGCTCGAACCCAGGCCGCGGAGATCAAGAGTGGCATGCTCCTCCGACTTAGCCAGCTGGGTATTATCCAGCTTAGATATTTTCTAAGTTCAGTGTTTCTTTTAGGTTACTTTTGTGATTCAACCACAATGCATGGAAATTCTGGAGACCTCTTATTCTCTCCATATGCCTTCAAAACTGACAACAGCAGCTGCTGTTCATATTTTTTCCCTCCATAACACATTCATTATATGCTCATATAACACATTTTGTATATAAAGATGACACTAGCGATCCATAATTAGGGGGTGACTACTGACCTGTCAACTCTCATTCTGGCCTCCTAAAAAATGTCTTGCACTTTCCCAGAGACTGGCTGGCCGAAGTACAGTCTATGGTTATGAAACAGCATTTTTCTCCGTGAAGCCAACTAACCCAATGTGCTGGGCATAGGACCGATGGCCTTACACTTATTGGCAAACGATTTAAATAACTCACCTTCACCAACAGCTAGCAAGATGAGCCTAGAGAAAAACTGTTAATTCAGTTAAGCTCTTAGGTACCCCGTTTTGCAAGAAGCCTAGAAGGCAGAGAGACACCTATAACCCGTTTCACTTAACATGTTAGTGTTTAGTCTGTGTTCCTGAAATATACTTCCAAACACGCTCAGATTAGGAGAAAAACCAGGACAAGGTGATAAGAGTATGTAAGCACTCCCTAAGACAGGACCCAGAAAAATCCTAAATGGTGTGTCGTTTGGATAAGTTTCAGATCAAAGAAGGCTGGATTGAAAACCACAAGTAGCACCAAGAATCTGAGAAAGAAGTCTGAAGGAAAAGGCAAACGTGTGCCTCTATGTTGTCACTGGAAAATGATAAGAAGCAAAACTTAAAACATAACCGGACGGGAAAAATGGTCACGTTCACGAGACAGATTTACACCAGCATCAAAAGCGAGCTTTACAGAATTTATTCAGATGTCAGAAGTCAGTGAAATTGGATCCTAAATCTGCATAAAGTCAGGAGCTCCGTAAATTACTGAAATACAACCAACCATTCACTGTTCCAAACTATTAACCGTGCACAAGTATCAGAGCCTTCAGCAGAATAACGCGCTCGGAGAAAGACACGCACAAGGGGACAAAGGGTCAACGTTATAACGTTAGCCGCCCCAAATCTGGGTGCTGTCAGAAGCGGGGTGGGGGTGGGGGAGGGGGAGGAACGTCTTCCAAGGATGGGAAGGAATTAGCCAAGGTGAAAAGGTGTACGTGGAGGTGGAGGTTGGCAATATGTGGCCAGCCCCTCTTAGAAGCCCTCAGAAGACGCTACAATAGCCGTGGGATGAGCATCAAGCTCCGGACCCCCGGGAGTGAAATGGGGGCGCAGAACAGGGCACAAGGAGGGGCGCAGAGACAGGGGACTCTGGGGGCCTGGCGACGGCACCTCCCCATCCCCCTCGCCAAACGCGGGACCCCTCTCACCTGCGCGCCGCCGCCCGGCAGCTGCGGGCAGCGGGGAGAACTGGGGGACACGTCCAAGTCACTCTCTTCCTCAGCCTCACCCTCGGCCCGACGGAGGCTCCAAGGTCCTGGCGGTGGCCACGGCTGCTCCATGTCCCGCGGCCCCCAGCCCTAGAACCTCCACTGCCAACGGACTTGGCGTGAACGGAATCTGCTGCGCGGAGCCAGCCGCCCCAGCCGGCCGGGGCCGTTACCCAGAATCCCTCCGCTGGCCGCGATGCCGACGCACACCCCGCGCTAGCCTGGGCCACAGACGGCGGAAGAAGACGGACTCGCTTGGCGACGTCACTTCCTGTTTGGGAGGCGGGGTCGGGGAGGCTGGTCCCGGGACCTGCGGGAAGGGGGTGGGTCTGGGGCTGGCGTTTGAAATTCCCTTCCCTGAAGCCTTTGAGCGCTGCCAATTTACCCCTCAGGGCACTGCGGGTCACGTAGTGTCAAGTTGTTGTTGCCTAGTGTTCCCTGCGCTGTGCGCCTTGGGTCTTGGACGTCGAGAGATGCGGTGTCTACTTTGCAAGTTGTTTACAAACTGCGACTCCTTTACGTTCATCCGTAAATCAGGGGTTCTGAGGCCGGGGTGGGCGGAAAATAGGGCAGAATTTTGGAAAGCAGGGCAAAGTTTTCTCTCATTTCGAGTTCCAAGCTCCAGGAGTTTTGCGTAAGTTGGCTGGGAGGCGGGCGCCGAAGATGAAGGACCCGAGCAAGCGCGGCTCGGAAATGCAGACGAGGGTGGGTGATCGCGGACCAAGCCGGGGCAGCCCGTATCTCACGCGTCGCCTGCAGTCCTGCAGGCCTGCGCTCTCGTGCCCTTTGTTGAGGAGAAGAAACACACCCAACGTGCCCAAGGGCACACGTTTAAGGAGAACACGTGTGATCAGCCCGGGGGTCTAACTTCGACAGTACCACGCTGCTGCCCTGCTCATAATTACAAAGACCCGAATAAAAACGAGACGCCATTTTTTCAGTCTCACAGCCTGACGAACTTTGCGGTTTGTCAATACCGAGTGTTGACAAGATGTGAGGAAATGCTGTTAAAGAGATTGTGCTTTGTGTAACCTTTCTGGAGGGGTGATTTGACAATATCGGTGGCTTAAGGGCTTTGATTCAGCAATTTCACTACCAGGAAATTATCCAACGATTATTTTTGTACCAATGTCCAGTGATTTATCTACAAAGATGTTTATTGCAGCAGTTTGCAGGAAAAACCAGGAAACTAATTGCCCATTAGTAGAGGAACTTCAGTAAATTATGGTATATTAATACAATACGATATCAGTCTTTAAAAAGAATAGATATGTATGTGCTGATACAGAAAATCTCCAGAATGTGTTGAGTTTTAAAATTTGCAGAATTAGATATATTTGGTGTTTACATATCTATAGCTAGCTACCTATCAAGAGCGAATGATCCAATCTGTGTAAAAATACGTGCGTGTGTATAGAAAATTCCTGGAGAGAGAGCAAGAATTCTTAATGATGGTGGATCAGGCTGGGAGGAAAGTTTCTGAGTTTCTTTGCTTTCCGTTTTTAGTTTTCCTGTACTATACGGTTTGAATATTTTTCAATGAATATGTTATCCCTTAATACTTAATTACAAATTACAGTTGAGAAGCACTGTGGGGTTAGGGAAAGCTACAGGAGTTAAAACAGAAAGGGAGGAAGAAAAGTAAAACACTTTTTTCTCTTTGTTTCCATGAAGGCACAAAGTGCTTTGAGCCGTGCCTGGCGTGAAGTAAGCTCTATATGAATGTTAAGTATTGTTTTATTGGTTTTCCTCCTACCTGTCTCACTACTTCCCCTCAGGCTCTTTGGCAGGCTCCTCCCCTTCTAACCGACCTCTAATTTTGAAATTCTTCAAATTTTGGCCAGTGGGGAGGACCTTATCTGTTCTTGTGGCTTTAAATAACATCTGTGTATTGACAGCTTCCTAATTGAAATCCAAGCCCTGACCTAAAGTACTTCAGACTCATTTGTCTACCTGCTGACTTGACATCTCTCTCTTTTTTAAAGTAGGCTCTACACCCAATGTGGAGCCCAATGTGGTGCACCCCCGACATCTCTCTTTGAATGCATATTTTAAATTTAACATTTCCCAAAAAACCCTCTTGATCCCACTCCTTCCCCAAACTTCTTCCTATTTTCTCCATATCAATAAATGGCACCACTGCCAATCCCAAGAGGCCAGCCTTAATTTATCCCCCTCCTTCCTCTCCCATGTCTGAACCAAAGTAAATTTTGTTACTGTTGTTTTAAAGATTTTATTTATTCATCTGACAGAACAAGAGAGCACAAGTAGGGGAGTGGCAGGCAGAGGGAGAGGGAGAAGCAGGCTCCCCACCAAGCAGGAAGCCCGATGTGGGGCTCGATCCCAGGATGCTGGAATCATGACCTGAGCCGAAGGCAGACGCTCAACCATTTGAGCCACCCAGGCACCCGCAAATTTTGTTATTTTTAGTCTCAAATACATCTTGAATCTGTCTACTTCTCTCCAGTTGTAATGCTTCCTCCCTAGCCCAGGATACCATGATCCTTCTCGGGCCTACTACAGTAGTCTTCAATGTCTCTGTTCCATTTTTGCTCATTACAAATCTCTTCACAGTTACCAAAGAGACTTAAAAATATATGTATATAAATCAGATCATGCCACACCCCTGCTGTATCCATTAAGTGCTTCCAGCACAAATAACAGAAACCCCAGCTAATAGAAACTTAAACCATAAGGAAAATTATTTTCTATTTAGTAAAAAGGGTGAAGATCAGTGTTCTCAGGATTGGTTTAGCAGTTGGTTGATGTCATCAAGGACTCAAGTTCTTTCTATCCTTTCCACCCTCCTAAGTCTGTTGACTTTCATCTTCAGGCTTGTCATGGTTGCAGGATGGCTGCCATAGCTCTGGACGTTGCATCCAAAACAGGACAACAGCCAAACAGGAAGAGAAGAGGCAAAAAGCTTTATTTACTTGTGGCTCTACTATCAGAAATAAAAATGTTTCTCAGAAGCTTCCAGTGACTTCCCCTTATATCTCACTGTTCAAAATTGGCTTAAATAAATTATGATTCAGTCCCTAAAGTGAGACGCATTGCCACCCAAGCAAAACTGGAGCTCCGTTAGCAAGGAAGAAGAGCTTATGGCTATTAGGTAAGCAATCACATTGTCTGCTCTAACTTTGAGTTCCTATGCTATCTAATGCCAGCCAACTCTTCAGTGTCATCTCTTAACCTCCTCTGTCCCCTGCCCAGGTCTCTCTTAGTATGCTCACTGGCCTCCTTCCGTTTCTCAAACATATCAATTCCCTCCCTGACTCTTCACATTTTGTTGCTCCCTTCACCGGATATCTTTTCTCTAGTACTTTAAAAGTCCTGCTATCGGTCATGCTTTTCTTTTTAGATCTTAGATCAAATGTCATCCTCTTAGAGAGGCTTATCTGTCCACTGGGTCTAAATTAGGTTCTTATGCCCTCTCCAACCTATAAACTTCTCTCTCACCCCCAACACCCAGATTCCTTCCTAGTATTTGTCATATGGTTATTATCTCATGTTCACTTATTATCTTCCCCACCCAGGATGTAAAGCCCACAAAGGCATAGACTGTTTCTTGTTCACCGTTGTACCTCCATTGTCTAGAATAGTACCTAGCACACGGTAGGTATTCAATAAATACGTGTTGAATGGATGAATAAAGAATGAATGAATGAATGGAAACAAGGATAAAAGGAAAGGTGTGGGATTAAATAAAGACAGAAGAGATGGACTCTCCCCCCCAACATGGGTCGTATTCTCACCAAAACCGTGAAGAAGGTGGCCTGAGTCATCACTGAGAAGTACTACACACACCTGGGCAATGACTTCCACACCAACAAGCATGTGTGCGAGGAGATTGCCATCATCCCCAGCAAAAAGCTCCGAAGCAAGATCACAGGCTCTGTCACACACCTGATGAAGCAGATTCAGAGGGGCCCAGGGAGAGTAATCACCAAGCTGCCGGAGGAGAGAGAAAGGAGGGATAATTACGTGCCCGAGATCTCAGCCCTGGATCAGGAGATCCTGACACTAAGGAAATGTTGAAACTCTTGGACTTTGGCAGTCTGTCCAAACTGTAGGTCACTCAGCCTGCACTTGGGATGAATTTCAAAACACCACGTGGAGCCGTTTGAATATTTCTGCTGTGCTGTAATATCTTCAATAAACCTTGGACAACAACCTTAAAAAAAAAAAGGGTGAAAAAGGAATGCAAAGAGATATATTTTTGTAGGAGAATAAAGGGTGGATATAATGACATCATCTTAGCCATTGCTGACTTTGGGGCCTAAATCCTTCGCTTGAGTTCAGTGGATACTTTTTACAAGTCTTGGAACTAAACCAGACTCTTTTCTATTTTCTTACATTGGATCATAAATATAATTCCTAGGAAACTGCTTTGGGTCATAATTAGCCTACTGCTCCCATGGACATAGAATTAGTCAGCTGACACTCAAAGGAGCAAATTAGTTTTCCTGAGCAGAAATTACTTTAAAATGAAAGGATATGGACTATGTAGTCCAGAACGCCCAAGGGCAGTCCTTATGGAAGGGTTTGTGTGGTATTAAGTAAGATTGAGCCTCCAAAAGCCAGTGAATCAAGGTAGAAGCCAAAGAGTAACATATGAGTCTGACTCATAAGCTCTAATAAAGTTTGTGAAATAGATCCCATGTGTGAGTCCAGATCCCAAATGACTTCAAGATTGTTAAAAGCTGTTCAACTGCAATTTAATTCCTTCCTTGGATGCTTTCCTGATACTTGGGGAAAATTCTGAAGAAGTATGTGCACTTAAAGAAATACTCAGATTGACAGCTCCTGTTTTGGATATTCATGCAGAGGCCACTATTCTTATAATACAGTGCTTCTTTTTTCCTTAAGTTGGTTTCCCTCTGAATCACTTGGAAAGTATTATGTATCTCAATAATTTTCTTAATCTGCATTTGAGGTAAATAAATCCACCATGTTTTCTCTTTAAGTGTCTATAAGAATTCTACTGAAGGGCATTTCATAGTGATACCACTAAGAGTCCTCTTGATGGGCTATTTTAGGACAGAAGGAGGTTCACATAAGGCCATGATTGTTTTTCTTATTTAAGTATATGTTAAATATTTTTAAGTTGTTATTATGAATATGTTTATACATGAAAGTATAGAATTATAATAAACACCATATATCCATCACCCAGATCAACAGTTATGAAGATTTTGCTGCATTTGCCTTATCCATTCTTTTTATTCATTTGTTGTAGCATTTGAAAACAAAATCTTAGACATCAGATCATTTTACTACTACATATTTTAATATGTAAACATATATCTAAACACTGTTGATATTTGCCTTGCATAAACACAAGGACATTATCAACATTATCATACCTATCAAAATTAATTGCTTGGTATTATCTAATGCCCATATCACAATCAAATTTCCCCAATACTCTCAAATATTCTCTTTAAGTTGGTTTGTTTGAATCAAGGTCCTGTCCCAATGATGGCTACATATTACATATTACATTTGATTGTTAGATTTCTGAAGTATTGTTTAATATAGAGCATTTTCCCTGACCCTTTCCCTTTTTTTTTTTTCCCCCTTAACGTCATTGACTTGTTGCAGACTAAGTGGTCAGTTGTTCTACAGAATGTCGCACATTCCAGTACATCTGTTTGCTTCCTTGTGGTGTCACCGACATGTTTCTCCATCCTCCATATTTCCTTTAAGTGAAGTTAGCTCTAGAGCAACACTGTTTGATAGAAGTTTCTATGACGATGGAAATATTCTACTTGCCCTACCCATTACTGTAGCCACTAGCCGCATGTGGCTATTCAACACTTTAAATGTGACTGGTGTGAATGAGGAACTGAATTTTTTATTTTATTTACTTTTAGTTAATTTAAATTTAAGTAGCTATATGCAGCTATCTTATTAGTGCAGCTCAAGCGGCTTGATTAGATTCAACCTTACCTTTTTGGCATAAGTGTTTCTTAGGTCCTTTTTGTGAATCACATAGGGAGACAGGATGCCACCTTTAGTGATGTTAAGATTAATCAGTGGGTTCATTAACTTTTTAAAAAATATAAACTTCATCTTTATGCAGTTTATGAGAATCAAGGAAAGAGTCCAGCATTGTTCATTGAGCTTTTTTATACCTTCATAGTAAAAGTTAGAAAGGCAAACTTTTCTGGATATCAAACTGTGGGAAAACTAAACTGTTAACATTTCAGAGAAAGATTTTGGAGAAGGCAGATATAAAACAATTATTTCTTGGGTCTCAAGGCTAGACCTGTGCTTTTTAAAAAAAAAATTATTTGAGAGAGAGAGTGATTGAAGGGCAGAGTAGAGGAAAAGGGACAAGCAGACTGCATGCCCAGTGTGGAGCCCAACAGAGGCCTCCATGTGGGGCTTGATCCCATGACCCCCAGATCACAATCTGAGCTGAAACTGAGCTGGGCAACTCACCCAGGCGCCTCTGGGTCTGTGCTTTAAAAAAAAAAAAAAAAATCAGGGCGCCTGGGTGGCTCAGTCAGTTGGGCATCTGCCTTCAGCTCAGGTCATGATCCCAGGGTCCTGGGATGGAGCCCCACTTTGGGCTCCTCCTCAGTGGGTAGTCTGCTTCTCCCTCTGCGCCTCCCCTTGCTCCTGCTCATTCGCTCTCTTTCTCAAATAAATAAATAAAAATCTTTAAGAAAAATCAGTGATCTGAAAATGCATCATTGCTGGAATAATCCAGATTGTTTCCTGTACTTGGATCTTTTTTTTTTTTTTCTTTTCAGGCATCTCACAAATGCTAATGAACAGCTCACTTCGGAAACTCAATCTGCTGGTGTTGTTCACATTTGCTAATGAATAATTCACTGTCTCAAAAGATTGTAGGCCTAAAAATGAGTCTGAGTCCAGACATAAACTCATGGCCCAGAACGGGACCTTGAGGTCTTTTTCACTTACTATTGAATACAGCTTCCCTTGGAGAGACAATTTGCTCTAGTAAGTGGGCATGAAAGTGCTGCAGAGAATAGCTCCTCTTTCCTTACCTTCTGCTTTGTCAGATCACCCAGGAAGCCCTTCTTTGTACTGTAGAAAGGAACTGATGTCAGGAAGAGGGCAGGACAGTGGTTCTAAAACTTGGTTAGACTAACTCTATCTCTTCCAGACTCAGGTGAAAACGACAGCCTCTCTTCCCAGAAAAATGCCCATATACACATGCAGGAAACGTTGCCTATTATTTCAGGGGCTTTAGGACCCCTGAGATGGCCAGGGGTCATGGGATAAGACACACTGCACTGGGAGCAGAAGAGCAACCACACTTGCAAGGGTATTTTCAAGGCGTGCAGTATATAGGATGCTGACCCCAAAAGCTCAAGAATCCCTAGTTACCCAGATTTAGCCTTTTTATTGTTTTATGTTTTCTACTTGTTTTGATTTGTTTTCCTATTTGGACTCGATAATGCAAATACGTGGCAAAAATATTCGAAAAGTACCTAAGGATATTCAGTGAAAAGGAAGTTTCTTCTCTCTCTCTACTCTAGGGCCCCTCCTCTGAAGAATCCACTATTAGCAGTTTCTAGTGTATCCTCTCAGGAATATTCTAAGCATGTATGCCCATATCGTATCCCCTGTCTCTTCCAAACGGCAGCATACTTCACACATTTTTTTGTTCCAGGCTTTTTGCCCCCATTAGTCCTATATTTTAGAGAGTATTTGTTGCTATGATGTACAGCTCTGCTTTATTCATTTTCCATGCTGCCTAGTGTTCCATCTTTTTTTTTTTTTTTTAAGATTTTATTTATTTATTTGACAGAGACAGCAAGAGAGGGGACACAAACAGGGGGAATGGGAGAGGGAGAAGCAGGCTTCCTGCTGAGCAGGGAGCCCGATGCGGGACTCGATCCCAGTACCCTGGGATCATGACCTGAGCCGAAGGCAGACGCTTAACGACTGAGCCACCCAGACGCCCCGCATAGTGTTCCATCTTAAGGCTTAAGCATAATTGAGTGAATCTGCCCCTACTTAATGAACATTTAGGTGGTTTCCAGTATCTTTTTTAATTTTTTAAAAAATATTATTTATTTTTTAAAGTAAACTCTACACCCAGTGTGGGGCTTGAACTTACAACCCCGAGAACAAGAGTTGCATGTTCCAGTGACTGGGCCAGCCAGGTGTCCCCAGTATCTTTTTTTTTTTAGATTTATTTATTAATTTGGAGGGGGGAGGGACAGAGGGAAAAGGAGAGACAGTCTGAAGCAAACTCCGTGCTAAGCAGGGAGCCCGATGCGGGGCTCAATCTCAGGACCCTGAGATCACAACCTGAGCTGAAACCAAGAGATGGTCACTTTACCCACTATACCACCCAGGCACCCACACCCCCCTGCCCCAGTATCTTTTTTAACTACAAATAATGCTGCAGCATGTATTTTTGTGTATGTGTGAAAGTATATTCATACACATCCATTCCTAGCAGTGGAACTGCTGAGTCAAATGAAAAATTTTGGTAGACATTAACAAGTTGCTCTCTAGAGAGGTTACATGTGGTAGGCAGAATAAGAGCCCCCCAGGGCGCCTGGGTGGCTCAGTTGGTTGAGCGAGACTGCCTTCGGCTCAGGTCATGATCCTGGAGTCTCTGGATCGAGTCCCGCATCGGGCTCCCTGCTCGGCGGGGAGTCTGCTCCTCCCTCTCCCACTCCCCATTTGTGTTCCCTCTCTCGCTGTGTCTTTCTCTGTCAAATAAATAAATAAAATCTTTAAAAAAAAAAAGAATAAGAGCCCCCCAAAGCTATCCATGTCCTAATTCCTGGAACCTTTGAATATGTTATCTTCTGTGGCAAAGAGGAATTGACATTATAGATGGAATTAAAGTTGCTAATCAGCTGACCTTAAGATAGGGAAATGATCCTGGGTTATCTGGATGGGCCAGTTGTAATCACAAAGATCCCTAAAGAGAGAACCAAAGACATGGCAGTGTGATAAGGACTTGGCTCAAATTTGCTGGCTTTGAAGTTGGAGGAAGGGAGCTAGGAGCCAAGGAATGCAGGTGACCCCAGAAGTTGGAAAAACAAAGAAAGGAACAAGGCAAGGAATGCAGCCCTGCTTCTAGCTTTGCTTTTAGCCCAGCGAGATCTGTGTTGGATTTCTGACCCACAAAACGAAAAATAATAAATGATAAATTTGTCTTGTTTTTATCCATTAGAGCCTTCTCTCTTTTTATTTTTATTTTTTTATTTTTTATTTTAAAGATTTTATTTATTTGAGAGAGAGAGAGCATGAGAGGGGACGAGGATCAGAGGGAGAAACAGACTCCCTGCTGAGCCTGGAGCCCAATGTGGGACTTGATCCTGGGACTCCAGGTCATGACCTGAGCTGAAGGCAGTTGCTTAACCAACTGAGCCACCCAGGTGCCCCCTTTCTCTCTTTTTAAATAGTTTCCTTCTTCATATGAGCACTCCTTTCTACATTATTTGAGGAATGTTTACAATTTCGTGTCTTATCATTCATGTTTTTGGTTAAATGGAAAATTTGCAACCGTAATTATCTGACTGTTACACTTTTGTTCTTTGCTAATTAACTCTTTGGAAAATTCCCATGTGGGATTGGGCCTTTTTTTTTTTTGGCAGTGGCTAGGATGTGAGCAGGAAGTGCCGAGGTGTCATTTCTGCAGGGCTGATATCACTGCTGACCAGCCTGCACTGCAGAAACGCTATGGGAATAGAAGTTGGTCAGTGGGATTTGTTTTCTGCCACCAAGATGGCCGCCTCAATGATTCACTACTTTGCAAGACAGGCCAGAGGCATTGTGTATGCAGAAACGTTTACATCTCCATGGTAGCTCAAGTGACCATGGTGAGTGAAATTAACAGAACGTAAATACTCTTCATCAACTCATTTAATACCTCCAGGGCAGACTAGCAGTAGTAGCTGTACCCGGTCTTTTCTCATTCTGCATGTTTAGTCTGCCCTGAAATGGTGTTGGTTCCTAAACTCAGGAGCTTCCCTGGGTGAAATCTGAAACTGGCTCCTAGATCTAGAGGACAGTGAGAGATTGAAGAAAGAGGCAGGCCACTCAAGATTAGTAGGTGAAAGTTTGTTTTTTTTTTAAGATTTTATTTGTTTATTTGACAGAGAGATAGCGAGAACAGGAACACCAAGCAGGGGGAGTGGGAGAGGGAGAGGCAGGCTTCCCGCCGAGCAGGGAGCCCGATACGGGGCTCGATCCCAGGACCCTGGGATCATGACCTGAACCGAAGGCAGATGCTTAACGACTGAGCCACCCAGGTGCCCCAGTAGGTGACAGTTTTAATAAGCAAGGGAAATTACACAGGAGGCTTGTCTTAGGCAGCCACAAGATGAGTAGAGCTCTGCACCCACCCACCAGAAACCTAGAAGTTTATTTGGAGGACTTAACTGGGTTCAGTCACATATACCATCCAGATGGTCTCAACAGCATTTTGCTGTCTCAAGGCCTGTGTTCTTCAAACGACTCCTGTTGTGAGAATGGTGGGTAGAATGTACACTCAAGGACAGTGGAGGGGGGTGAGGAGCTTCCAATTGCCCTGGTCCACCTTGTGGGTCAACCCATGGTCATTGTCTTCTTGATGACCTCCTCCAACATGAGGGAGCCCCCTAACCCCCATACGTTGAACCCTACAGACTGGCTTGACCATCTCTGTATTTAACATCTCTTCAAAGATATTTATTGAGCATCTGCTATGCTAGGTATTTAGAATATGAACTCTTAGCCATGCAGAACTAACAGTTTATGAAGACAAATAATCAACAATCACAGGAACAAGTGTGAAAATGCTATTGTGGCAGTTGCTACAAAGAAGAGACACATGGATTTGTAGTCAGGAGATTCTTCCTTGTCAGGGAGAGCAGAAGAAAGGCCTGGGTGAAATATGTAGATCTGTGTACATATGTTTGTATGCCACCATAGGTAAAGGGCATAGAGTAAGTAAAGGACCTAGAAACATTGCATAGCCAGGTAGAGGAGGATGAACAGAGACAAAGAACGGCCAGAGAGTTGAAGGGAAACCAGAAAAGGGCTTGTATCCAACCTGAGGAGCCAAGCAAGGAGAGTGCAGTTAAGACTAGTAAGAGCACAGGATGGGACGGTGTGTCTGTATGATTCAACAGGATTTCTATGCCGCAGGGGCCGTGAGGTGGTAGGGCACACCTGGATTCAAGTGTGGTCCTGTTCCCCTTTAGCTGTGTGGCCTTGGGGAAAAGGCTGTCTGGCCTCAGATCTTGCATCTGTAAAATAGAGATGATACCTTCCTCGAAGAGTTATTGTGGAGATGAATTAGCATATGCAAGGGGTCTAGCACTTTGCAGCTTCTCAATAAAGATTGGTTCCTCCCTTTCATTATGTCTCTGTCCACTCATTTATTCATCTGTTTTAGCTGTTACTCCTTGATGACTTAGCATTGGTTTTGGTGACTTACCTGTGAGGGTCAACACCGGTCCTGTTCCCGTAATCCCTGCACTCGCCTGGGTACCAGCAAGCTGTTGTGAGCCAACAAATCAGTTCTCTGGATATGGGAGGGAGCCAAGCATACACCTATGTGCCTCTTGGTATGCAGACAGACAGAGCAACAGGGATTGTGTGAGGACATAATATACCCTCCTTCATCATACTGAGCTTTTCCATTCCAGGGAAAGGAACTCCAATTACCAAAGTGAATGCCTAATTCTTGTCTCAGGACATGTTTGTGCACTTGCACTCCTGAAAATGCAGAAACCTCCAATAGTTTAGTAATAAATGACTCATCACAATTTCAGATTTCTTTCCAGAGACAGCATTGACCCTCCCAGATTTTTCAGATTGGCTAGAAGCAGCCACTCCCTCCTCCTTTCCTTCATTTTGGTCTATCAAATACAGTGAATGGACAAAAATGCAGTTTCCCCTACTGGTTAAGAGCTTTTCCTCTGCCTGCCACCTCCGATGGTTTTTAGTGTGGCCCTGCCTTTGGCAACCACTGTTAACTATTAACCACTGGGAGATAACGTAATTCCCTGCTTGCCTTAGGTTAACTAAACGTCAGAAAAGAGAGACGGACAAATATTTCCATTGCCAAATAGAAATACAAGGATAAGTCTGAGATTGAAACGGCTTGTTTCTTATTATTGACAGGGGCCATGTTTTCCAAACCAAACACGAGGACATAACATTTCACAAGCAGGAGAGTACTTTCAGGGACAGGCTACTCTATTAATTGGAATTGTTAAAGAAATTCCAGGGCTCAGCGGTCACATAGCTACTAAACATGGGAAGCACTTAAATGATACCGGAGCTAATGATCATATTCCCCTTTAGACATTTTAACATAGTGACGGGGGCCATAAAGAGAGGTGACGGGGAGGGAAACTGGAGCTCTTCCAGCATCCGGCGACCCAGCCACCAGCGCGGCACCGGGTCCTGCCGCGGCCCGCGCACAGCCCGGGAAGCCCGCTTCGGCACTGCGCGTGCGCCGAGCCTCGCTCGCGTTCCAGGTGGAAGGTGGCGCGTTCGAGCGTTCATGGCAACGCCACGCTTCCGCCTTCTGGAAGCCTTGGCTCCAGCTCCGGCGCTGTGAGACCCGTCCGGGTGGTGGGGACCTGGGCTGAGTCCGGGGTGGGGACGGATGGGGGGACGAGGGGGCTGGGGGCAGGGGAAGCTGCTGGGAACGTTTGCCCCAGGGAGTGAGCTACGCTAAGAAAAATCGGTCCAAGGCTCAGCACAAAAGGATCTTTTCATTCCAGTCCTTTCGCCCACGCAGGGAACGATGCCTCTGGAAGTGGTGGTAGAACTACAGATCCGGGCGGTAAGAGAAGTCGGGGAACCTCCACTCCTCGCTCCAAATCAGACTCTTTCCCCAGGGCTCCTAAATGGTCGCGATCTCGTACACCACCTCCTCCCCGCCTCACCGCACACACATCATCATTATCTTTTGGGGCAGATCGTACCTCTGTGTCCCTAAGAGCTCTACATTGGTCTTCCCTGATTTCTTAACCTTTAATTCAGCCCAACCTCTTTCAACATTTTTGCCCCCTAAAGGACTTGTTTGTTAGCTTTATCCTAAAATTGTCTGTTATTTTAGAATAATCCTGCATTAAGTCCAAGAAGAATTTTATTTTATTTTTCCCCAGGATAAAGATTTGTGAAATAATAATAAAACAAACAAACAAGCAAACAAACAAACAACCCTCCTTTAAATAACAAGGGAAGAATTCAATTTCAGAAAGCCCAATCACTTCCTGATAACTTGCCACCTCTGTGAACCAATGGAATATGTATTTTTTAAAGATTTTATTTATTTGTCAGAGAGAGCGAGAAAGCACAAGCAGGGGGAGCGGCCGTCAAAGGGAGAAGCAGGCTCCCTACTGAGCAAGGAGCCCCATCTGGGGCTCCATCCCAGGACCCTGGGATCATGACCTGAGCCAAAGGCAGGCACTTAACTGACTGAACCACCCAGGCATCCCCTAATTGAATATTTTCTAAGTATTTCCCCTAGAGATGGCTCTGGCTTGCTAATTCCAAAAGGGGTCAATCAGTCAACACTTCTGTTTTATAATTATCCACTGAATCTGGCCTAAATGAGGTGCTGTGGCAGAGTGACTTCATTGTTCCTGTTTGGGATCAGTCACTACCCCGAATTCAGCTTCTGTGTTCCAATCCTTCCATCCGTAGTTGGTGACAGACTGTCATGCGGCTTTACCTCCCAGCTGTAGGGGCTTCTCTGCTGGTCGTGATTACAAGCACATTGTCGGTAAGTTATGGCCACGGAAAATCTGGTGAGCCTCCATACAGTGACAAGTGCTGTGGTTTCATGATACATGCAGTTCTGAAAGACAAAAATGTCCTGGATTTCTCCCATTTCGCTGAGAGCAAATAGGACTAGACTCTATCAAATTGTGCTACATCGAGTGATGCCGACCCTCAAAATTTTGCAGTAGGGGGAAGGAATTCTTGAGAAGCTGAGTGATAAAGCAGTCTTCCATCAAGGCAAAAATGGAACAAGTTTTCATCTCACTTCATTCAACATTATTGGTTAATTTTATTTTCAGTTTTAAAAGGCATTCCTCAGTGTACAATTAATTTACAGTAAAATCATTTTCTACTCTAAAGTGTTTCAGAGACATCAGTTGAATTGATCTGTGCTTTAAAAGCCTGCAAACTCAGGTCCCCAATGACTAAGACAGGGAATTCCAGAAGTAAAACCAGGAACCAGAAGATAAAACTGTGAGCTCCCAATATTCAGACTTGTGAACACCGCAAAAGGAAGTATCATTGCTTTCAAAAAGATCTGGCCTGAATATTGCCGGATTAAAACAAAAGATCTAAGATTAAACAATAAAGCAAATCACTTAGAGCTTTACAGTTTGGCTGATTCAGCAAGAGAAGAGGTAGTCTTGTGTTCAGGATGTTGTGGGAATACAAGTGATTTTATTTTCCTTTGAGGAGTTCCTCCGGGTGCCTCTCACACTCAGAAAGCTCACACTTCTACCCAATCAGAGCCCACTTGTCACACCATTCTCCAGATTCCAGTGTGCCCCTCTATGTGACAGATGAAAGGCCATAATCCTCTTTCTATAAATGTCAAAATAATCCGTCATTATCTGAAAACACCAGTGCCAGAGATAATTCAAAAGTTCTTATTTTTCAGGTAGAACAGCATTTAAAGCACATCCCCTTCTTGGTCTTCCCTGCTCAAAGAATAATGAGCAGAGTCCATCCTGCATTTGGTGGTCTTTGGTCTTGTGATTTGGGGAGGCACTGTGGATAAACTGCTTTAAATGTGAAGGTCAACGTAAAGGGAAATTTAGGAGTTAGTTATGCCTTGTGCCTGCTATAGCAGTGGGCTCCCCTGATGAATTTCAAGTTAAATACTGTTACCTAAAGTGTGCTGTATACGGGGAAATGGAATTCCATATGAAAAACTTTAATATACAGGGTCGTCCTTGTGATACATATAAGAAAGTTTATGGCCTTGCACTGCCAAGAACCAAGTTATTTTCCTATTACCTAAGTAGAGGAGCGTTATTCTTTATTCAGTAGAGATGACGGGCAGCAGAGCCCCATCTCCCACCGTCCTGGCCCACTGACATAGTATGTGGTAAGCCCACCCCCAGCCTCTTAGTTCCTGACATCCTCAGCTTTTCTGTCCTCTGTCATGCCATGCTATTTGTCATCAACAGAATTAAGCATTCGGTCATAGTCCCATCCTTCCATTTCCGTGGGCACTGTAGATATGCCCACCTTTAAGTGTTTCTTCTTCAAGTAAGTTCTTGGCTTGTTCTCTAAATGCAAAAAGATAATATTAGAGAGTAATGGGAAATAAATATCTACTTAAATAGAGTTTTTGAGGAGGTAGAGGGAAAGGAAAGCAAGATATGTACTATAATCTCTCTTCTCACTACCCAATCCACAAAGATGGAAGAGACAATATACTAAGAAAGCTTATCAAGAAAATCAGGATTAAGAAGACACTGTGGCAACAGATTTTCAGGGAATAAATGAGAAAAACCTGTCCTAGACTTTTAAAATACTGTTTAAAATCTACCTCAGGAAAAGAACTAGGATTAGTAGGTGGCTCATCTGCATGTATATTGACAGAATCATAGTTGTTGTTGTTTTTTTTTCAAAGTTCACTTTACAAATGATATGTTGACTTACAGGATTACTACAAAACCCCAAATTTACTTTTGTCAACTTTTTAAAAACAGCAGGATTATAATCACCCCAGCTTGTTTTCTTTGCAGTTGTCCTGGAGATATAAAGTTGTTGAATAAATATATAATAGAGGGCTTTTTTTTTTTTTTTTTGCTTTCTGTAATATGGCTGTGGTCATAATGGCCAGCATGTTCTCCAGAGTAGCAACCCATCAAGACGGAATGACACCTGAAATCCCAAAAGAAGCCTGAAATGTCCTTAGAGGGACAAGCAGGATTGCTGCTGGTTTACGCCGGCTTCGTCGCATGTGGAAACCTTCAGATCTCCTGGTGCCATACATGAATGAAATGGTGTCATTGTTGGTTCCACAGTACGAAGAGGACCGGGGCATTGTGCGGCGAAAGCCAGCAATAGTCCACGATGCTGTACTGCGTGTAGCCCAGAAAAAAGCCAAAAGCCACGTCAGTGACATTGTGCCGCCCCAGCATGACCCTGGAGAAGCCCACGATGAAGGCCCATAGGACCACAAGCACCCTCAGCGGAATGGCCAGCACCAAGTGGTTCAGGATGAACCGCGACACCAGGGCGGCCCTGGTGGCATGGCCCGAGGGGAAGGAGTACTTGTCCACTGAGAGGGTGACAAACATGTCCATCTGGTTGTGAGCCGGGCGGCGCCTGCGCACCAGCCCCTTGATCAGGGCCACCAGCAGCAGGTCCAAGAGCAGGGCGAAGACCAGGTTCATGAGCACCTCGCGCCCCGCCCAGCTGTCGCTCCTGGACAGGCAATAGAGGGTCCCCAGGAGCCAGGGGATGCCGTGTCCCGAGATCTCCAGCAGCTTCATAAGGGGCCGCATGCTACCCCAGGACGAGCTCTCTCCGGCGCACACCCCCAGCTTCTTGGACAGCCACAGGTCGATGGCCAGCAGGGAGCGCAGGGCGATGCCCAGGAAGGACGGGTTCAGGTCCATGCGGTCTTCCTCCGGCAGCGGGGCGGGGGCTGCCTGCGAGGGGCCCGCCCCGGCCAGGGGGAAGGAGCCGCGGCGGTGCACCGGGCTCTCGGACGCGCGCAGCCGGGCGCAGGTGGGGTC